TGAGTCTCTGGCGTAGGCCCTCTACGGCCTTATTCAGGAGATGTTCATGGCTGGGTTTTTGCTGATTTTGAAAGGTTTTAGTGGCTTCCGAATGTAGTAGCTTACCTGAGTGCTCAAAGGGAGATTTGGTGGCATAGCCAGTGCTCTGACTGGGGGACACCTTGAGGGACGGATCATCGTGGGGCATGAGGGAGGGAGAGCTCCTGGTAGCCTGAGGGTTCGAACTTTATAGGTCTGTGGTAGCTGGTTCTGCCTATGGTTAGAGCATCTGATGCTTCCAGAACCTTCCTTAGCAGGAGTCCCACAGTGAAGTCTCTGAACCAGCAGCATCAGCATCACCTGGGAACTTGTCAGGAATGCAGATTCATGGGCCCATCCCAGACCTAGTCAATCAGGAGTCCAGGGTGGGACCCAGCAATCTGTTTTAACAGTCTCGCCAAGTGGTTCCACAGGCTCAAGTTTGAGAACACTAGTCCACAGGACAGGAGACATAGCATCTGTCGCATTGGGGATGGCACTCCTTATAGGTGGAAGAGAAAGGGTAGCACTTATGGTTTTCTAAATTGCATTGATTGAGAGTTTCTGTGAAGGGAAAGTGAAAAACATCATATATTAATTGGAAAGTGTGAACTTCCCAGGTATCATTTCACATTAAAGTCGCTTAGCAGCATCTAGTGGTAAGCTTGGGTAAGACAGTGTGTAATCCGTGAAGGACACTTGATTTCTTCCGTTTCCTTTTTAAAAAAAGACCTTAGATCCAAAAGAGTCTGGGGGCCTAAGAGAGCTAAAGCAGGAGGTCACTCCTCCAGATAGGGCTCACTGTGAGGCACTGTCCTGGGTCCCTGTCGACCCCTGCTGTGCAAAGGCGAGTCCTACAGCTGTGCTTGCACTCTTTCATTCAATCTTTACCGCCAAGCTCCACATGAGGTTCAGAGCATGACATGGCTCCTGCCCTCAGCTGCTCACAGCCCAGTAGGAAGATGGATATAAACCAGACAATCTAAATTGTAAAAGCAGAAACACAACAGTCACCTTTGCTCAGGATGAAGTTCAAGTTGCTGCATGGTCACACCTTCTACCTGCCTCTCTCTCCGGTATCCACTCAGCTGCTCTGCTCCGAGAAGCCCTGGGCTGGCTTTGCGGTGCTGTCTCTTCTTCTCTTCCTCTCTGACCCTTCTTGCAGTTCCTGGTACCTGCCCCTCTGCTCAGCAATCCTCTTTCTGGAAGTCCCTTTTTCTCTTCAGCACCTAGGACCTTCCTGGAAGCCTTCTCTGGCATCCTCCAGTGCTCCAGGGCCTCTC